ATCTCTTCTGTAGAGAACAGTTGTAACAACTTAATTAAAACCTTAAAAAATAAAGAATTTATTCCTAGCGAAATGGCGAAGGCACTCACAACGTACAATGGTACTTGTCCGAAATTCTACGGCTTACCTAAAGTTCACAAACCAGATATTCCATTAAGGCCTATCATATCATGTATAGGAAGCTCAACTCAACCTTTAGCTAAGTTTATTTCAGAAATCTTGTATAGGTCGTTCTCAAATTTTAATAAATTCAAAATTTTTGACACGTTTGACTTCTCTCAAAAAATTAATAATGTTCAACTGCCGGAGGGTTTCGTACTGGTGTCTTTTGACGTGGTCTCGTTATTTACTAATATTCCATTGGATTTGGTTGTGTCAATTATTGAAGAACATTTTGAATTATTGGAACCCAATACCAAGATCCCTTGTAATGTTTTTGTTAGTATCATTAATTACCTGTACAATAATACTTTCTTTTGTTTCAATGGTCTCTTCTATAAGCAGGTAAAGGGGCTACCAATGGGCGGTGCCACTTCCCCTATCTTAGCAGAAATTGTAATGAATAAATTACTTTACTTTGTCACTAATAACTCACAATTTCAATTCCCTTTTATCTATCAATATGTTGACGATCTTTTAACAGCAGTTCCTGCGGATAGGGTAGGTGAAACACTTGACCTGTTCAATTCATTTAATGAGAATTTGAGATTTACAGTTGAAGAGGAAACTGAGTTGTCTGTGCCCTTTCTTGACACTAGGGTGGTTCGGACGGGAGAAAATAGAGTTATCTTGGATTGGTACAGAAAAAAATCTAGTTCAGGTAGATACATACCATTCTCTTCTTACCATCCCTTCAAACAGAAGATTAATGCAATACTAGCTCTAAAGAACAGAATCCAAAAGATTGTACATCCTACTTTGTTGGATAAAAATCTGAGATTACTCAAAGATATCCTTATTAATAACCAATACCCACCGAACTTGATTAATAAATTACTGTTTAGCAATGTTACACGTTACACTTGACCGTCTCCAACCAGTCAATGATGTTGAGGGTGAGCTTCCTGTTCCTAACAAAAAATATGTGAAATTACAATTCATTGAGAACTTATCTCCAATCATTTCTAGACTTTTATCTCAACATAACATTATTGTGGCTAACTATAATCAAAAAAAACTCAGTCTCTTTTATACATCATTAAAAGACAAAACTCCTACACTCCAGAAATCTGATGTTGTATATGGTATCAAATGTGAATGTGGAAAAATATACATTGGTCAAACTTCACAAAAGTTAACAAAAAGGGTAGCTCTACATAAAAGTGATTGTAGGCATAAACCTCTGAGTACGAGTCTCAGTATACATGTGAACAACAATGACCATATGGTCCACTATAAAGATGCCTTTATATTGCATTCTGAAAAGAATTCATATAAAAGGAGGATTCTGGAGATGTGTTACATTTATAATTGTGATAACTGTCTAAATCATAAAAAAGATGTCGAGGGCCTGAGTTCAATTTACACTTATTTACTTTCTCAAAAGTTAACTAACAGCAATAAAAAGTATCCACAAGAGTACGTCAGAAAGAATTGGGGCTAGTTTACCAGTCTTTGTTTGATTGTCTTTTCCAAACAGACGAAATTTCTGGGAATGTTACTATTTTTTAATAATATTGACTAATTTGAAGCCTGCCTCTCTTACATTGCTGGTTTTGTGATTGTTAATTTGAATTTTGGAGTTGTATAATATAAAGTAAAGAGCGATATATTGTTAAATAGTATGAATATCTGTACCCCTTATCTAGGAGAATAGCTAACTATCAGTTGATATTTTTGTGTTAAGAATGACAGAGTGTAACATAACCTCAATCCTCTTTTTTGGTTTCCAGGCAGATGGAGATTGATAGACTTTGACGTTGTCATTACTTTATTTCTGTCGACTGTCAGCTTTCTCCAGCTGTTTTGTGTTTTCAATTAAACGTTTTAAGACTTATTAATTAATTTTTACTACTTTTTATTTTAATCTGTTGTAATCCCCTATTGGATAATTGTTTTTTACAAATTAATTATGTCCGTCCTTTTACCTAAATGTTGTATTCTGTTATATTGATAAGCGTTTAGTTGAAATCTAGATTGTTACATGACATCCTCAAGGTTTAAGTCTTCTGTGAAAGTGCATTATGCATTTATCTATTATACAGTGGTTATTATTGCAATAGAGCTGTCTTGAAGTTTCAAGTAAGTTTATTGGGCCTTCTGCCTCCAAGTAAAGGGTTAATCTTGTCTCTTAGTAAGGAGTTTTCATTGTTATTTTTATATATATATATATATATATATATATATATATATATATATATATATATATATATATATATATATATATATACAAGAATATATGATTTACTTAGAAGTTAACTATTATCCATTTGTTGTATAACTACCTACCACATTATCTTATTAAAACCTAAGATTGAAACCAACTGAAAACAGAATACATACCTACTCGAATGTACCCAGATTGTCAACGTACTCTTTCCTCTTGAAGTCTTGACGCGGGTCGCGGGCTCTAGTGATAGAGAATCTATGACCCTCGTTGTGTCTAGAGTACATTATCCGGTTTTGTCTTTCATATCAGACTCAATAACCTCAATTGTTTCCCCTCTATGTAACTTGTATTGCTGTCTCTTCCTCCTTCTAACAGAACCTGCAGAGGGTTTCTTCTGTCAGTCCGAGTGGACTCATGCACGTGTTTTTTTAGTCGACAGGCTATTGTTACAAGATCGACCATTATTCGATTGATAGGCCCAAGAGTTCCGTCGTGATTTTGCTCTCTGGTTTTCCTCTAAATATCTTTGGATGTCTTATTCCCGAGAGATTCATCTACAACTCTGGGCCTTTCTTTCACCCACCACCTGGTAACCCATCTTAGCGATCGGCCTTTTTTTAGTAAACAGAGTTCTAGTAGACTAATACACCAGAAAACTGAAAATTTTATTTCCATGATAATTTCAGGATTTTTTTAAAAACTAAAAATGTGTTTAATATTGTTCATATTGAATATGGTTTTTAGTAGTTGTCCTCTAGGAGGGTGCCGGCTATTTCTGCTAGCAGTTGGGCATCGACCTATTGGTCCTCAAGGCAACTACAATCTCTCACCAGTGGCTTCAAGTAGGTGTGCATGACACCGGCCACACACCGGCAAACCGCTTTGGTCGGCGGGCTATACCTGGTAGAGGTTGGCTCAGAAATCAAGCTCTGAGTCTAAGGTAGTGTCTCCTCTTTTTTATGCATGAAGTCTACTGCGGTATTGCAAAGTCGAAAGGCACCAGCAAACAGCGGAAAAAGCGTAGTAGGAAAGCTACGTTTCAGATTTCCAAGGGCGTCAGTAGAGATCGAGAGTACTGTTGATCAGAGACACAAAGGTTGCATCATCTATCAAAGAGCGCATCGTCGCAGACCTTCTGCGCTATGTGCAAGAGTTTGCTGCAACCAAAGCTACGGGTATGGCATAATACCTCTGCCTATACCTACACACACGCAGCTAACAAAAAGTTACTGAGATGGATTGTTTTAGCGGAGCAAAATCATCCAGAGGTAGAATACGGATCTCCGGGAGGGGGTGCCTGCTCGAAAAGCAACGAGTCTTTCATCTGCGCTGCGTGGAACATCCACACACTTTTAGACTCTGAACTATCTGATCGACCTAGAAGGTCGGCAATCATTACAAGTGAACTAGAACATCTAAATATAGACATGGTGGCATTAAGCGAAACTCGTTTCCTCGATGAGGGTAGCCTCGTCGATTATACATTCTTTTGGAAAGGTCTTCTATATGGCTCCAAAAAATCCATTGCGTTGGCTTTGCCATGAAAAACAGTCTAGTACAACGCCTTATATAACTGCCTCACGGACTCAGAACGTTTGATAACATTAAAGTACCAACTAAAAGATAAATCAATGGTCCATGTAATTAGTGCTTACGCTCCAACTCTAGACGCTGAGGCGTATCCCGAAAAGACACCGCATTATTTTACTTGGCTTCAATGGAAGGTCAGGCAGGAACCGTGATATCTATCTAGCAAAACATAATCGGAGCACATGAAACTCGCAATATCAACAGCAACGGCGAACTCCTCCTAACTGAGTGTGCCGAACACAGCCTGACTATCACAAATAACCAATTTTAAAATTTAGACAAATAAACAAGTACAAAGGCACGTGGCGCCATCCTCGGTCTGGGTACTGGCATATGATCGACTATATCATCGTTAAAAGAAGACATCTAAAAGAGGTTCAAATTACTAAAGGCATACCGAACATTGACTGCTGTTGCTCCAGACCATCGCTTAGTCATATCTAAAATGTCCGCCAAACTAAAACCTCCCTTTAGAGGAAAGAAAAAGACCATCAATACCAAAAAACCAACCCAGACTCAACGACTCCAGTCCGAAGAAGCTGGGAACAACTTGCGGCACAACATGCAGACCAGACTAAGAAGTCTATCAATAAACGAGCTTGGAGACGTGGAAGAATACTGGACAGGTCTTGAAACTTTATACGAAGCGTATCGGCAGTGGCGGTCACAGACAAGAAAAAAACAAGAAGACTGGTTTGTTGACAATCACAACAAAATTGAGGAAATATTAGATAAAAATCGCAACGCATTCTAGTCAGTGCAAAACCGCACCCAACAGACAACAATACGCTAAGAAAATATGAGAAATTAAAACAAGAAAACCGCCGTGAAATCAGGCTTATTAAAAATCAATGGTGGACAGAAAAAGCCAAAGAAATTCAAAGCTTTGCAGATCAACAATATCAGAAAAAAATATTTGAAGCTATAAAGAAAATCTATGCACTGCATTAGAAATAATGCTACTGGCCACTGGGTCTTTCTAAAAACTTAAAGCCAGAGTTTTCTATAACCATGATCTCACTCTATCAATGAAGACATCCGTTTACAGAGCGGTAGTAGTCACAGCACTAAAGTAAAAAGCCAAGTACCTATCTTATTTAATTTTTCTAATAATTGTCAAAATGTACAAAATAATGATATATCACTTCACTTTATCTGTGACAGAACAATAACTAAACAATCATAAAACAATGCACTTAAGATAAGTAGTAAAATATCAGCCTAGTATAACATACACAATTATTGCTTCGGCCAATTTTCTTCCCTGTATTTATTCACCCTTTCGTAAAATATCCTGACAGAATCGGAGTCATCATAAGATTCTTTCAAGTAGTACAGGCGCAACTTGTTTTCCTGGTGGAACTCCAAAATTCCCCATTTCTGGTAGAGCTTGAGTGCATTCTTGATTGGATCCACAGCAATGCTTTCATCTAAAAAAAAAAGTCATAGAAAATTCCAGTCTAAGCCCAACCTTATACTTAAATGGTATGTGGTAGCTTTTGTTTATTAAAAAATAGATTGGGTAAAAGGGTTTCAATAAATAGAAAATAGGCCTAAATTATAAACTGTATTCTTTGAGTCTAATGCTCAGAGATATTAGATATTCGGGGCCGTATTTATGATTTTGACATTTGTTGACGTAGGTAATTTGGATTATGACTAGGTACAAAAATAAAACAGGTAACCACGATTTGTGAATTAAGAATCAGACCACAGTTTTAGAGATTTCAGCCGGCCTACATTTTGACAGGAGTTGATAATGACCTTTAAGACTGTAATGGCTATTTGCACGGCTATAACTTAATGAATATTTAATGTGAGTGGTGCTTTGAATGTGACTTTTGTTTCTACAAGAGTCACATTCAAAGCTCCATTTGGATTAAATACCCTTAGGCTATAGCCGTGAAAATAGCCATAAGTCAGGTAGGTGAAGTGACCAATGAAATGGGGATGATCTTTTATGGCCGTTTGTTCCGTCTTCGCCGTAAACAGTGATTAGCTTATCAGTATTGGTTTGTAATCATCGTCATAACTTCACAATGCTCGAAGTCGATGGCACATTCATAACCACAATTTTATGTTTATAATGTCTGACATTTTGTTTAAAATGTAATTTGGAATGAAGGTGTTATATGTGTAGAGAAAATGTTTAAAGTGTTGACTTTTTTGAAAAAAAAAATTAATGAAATTTGCCATTGAGAGGGAGTGTAAGAAATTTATATAGCGCCACTTATAAGGATTGTAAATTTTGAGATTTTATTTTTTTTTTCTCAAGATTTTCGATAGGGTTCCACATTCATCTTTTGACAGGTGATACATACCGTATCTTTCAATATTGTGTCCAATTTTTTTCAAAATCGGGACAGATTTGCACTTTGCGGGTTGAAAATATGAAAAAATTAGCTTCAAATTGGTTTTTTTTTCGATAGGCTTCCATATTCATCTTTTGATAGGTGATACATACCCTATCTTTCAACATTGTGTCCAATTTTTTTCAAAATCGGTAGGGTTTTCCACTTTAGGAATTAAAAATATGAAAAAATTAACTTCAAATTGAGTTTTTTTTTTTTTTTTTTTTTTAAATAACATATTGGGTGATATTTATAATAGATCACCCTGTACGTGTGTTGGAGGTGTCAGCTACACTGCGACTTAGGTTGATCTATTGTACCCCTTCTTCTGCACTTCTGCCGCTACATTCAGGATTCCAACTCAATCCAGTCTCTCTAGTTCTAAGTCTTTTAGGAACCCTTAGATATCCAGTGGTTCCAAATATGGAATGTCTTTTACCTGTATAAGAGGTCTTTCCAGATTCTTCATCTTTAAACGACTAACGGCATCGCAGTTCAGTGGAAGCCAATGGAAGGTGGTCAGGTGTCTCCTCTTCGTCCTCACAGTATCTACTGGTACCGTTTTCTTCGAACCCCAATTTCCGCAGGTGCTGTGTAAGTATGCAGTGTTCCGAGAGAAACCCGGTTAGAGTTTTGGGACTTTTCTTGCTAAGATTCACCAGCAATTCTGGTCTATTTTGGGTAAACTTGCCCAATACTCGATAGATCCTTGGCCTGTCGCAGTTCTGGCTGTTCAAGTCGTTGCTTGTTCCTCAGCCGGTTCTCTTTCTTTTCCAGGACTCCTTGGAAGTGTGCATTATCGAGGCCGCACAATGGTTCTGGCCCAGTGGAGGGGGTAGAAGCTCCGGTTCTCGCAGGTGTGTTTGCGCATTCGTTGCCCTCAACCCCGTTGTGTCCAGGCACCCAGAGGAGGGTTATTTTGTTTTCCTTTCCTAGCTACTATGGACATTTTCATGCTATCTCAAAATTGATGACTGGGGATCTCAATGCTTTGAAAGCTGCTTGTCAGACATTATCATAGTTTCTCTTTTCCAATATCCTCTGTTCAGGTTGAACTGTACGCATCTTCCGATCGCATGCAATTCTGCTTGAAATATGCTTGGTGATTTGCCCAATGGCTTCGTGTATTTGGTCAGTAGCCCGAATAATCATACTCCAGTTCCGTCGGCAATCTCTATACCATTTGACGGCGTTTTCTTTCAGGGACTGGATAGATTCTATGTTCCATTTGTTTTTCGTGGTTAGCTCTATGGAAAAGTTTTTCTGGACGACTCGACTTTTGGAAGATCCATAAGGTGTGCACAGTTTAGGAGATGACAAGTTCTGCCAGAGTGCGTTTTCCCTTGAATACCTTGAGGTCTAGGAAGAGTTCTAGCGCCGCAGTTGAACATGATCTCATTGCTCCTGTTATGCAGAGACACGCAAGGCTTTCCACTTTTCCTAGGGATTTCGGATTGATGGGTTACAGCCCCATGTTTTATCCCGAATGTCTTTGCAGATCATTAGTGCCAAGAGTATCGATTCCAGAGAAGTTTAGAATCTAAGGTTATTTCTAGAAATTTTACTTCTTGTTTCGAATTAATATTGCTTCCATTGAGGCAAATGTTTCTTAAGTTTGGGAGTACCAGTGTGGTTTTCGTTCAGTCCTAGCCCCACTGACTGACACCATTCCTTCGAGGATTAAAGTGCTTTTTCTATGAAGTCGCAAAGTGTTCCTTCGAATTTGCCCCCGGCTATAATGACAATATCATCTGTATCCAAAGCAGGTGCAGCCCTGATTGATCAGCATACTAAAAAGATTATCAACCAGTAGACTCTACGCCAAAGGTATGAGTAACCCTCCCTGTGAACATCCTATAGTTGTACTGGATTTGGATGGTTTGTTTACCTACGTCAGTTTCTGCAATTCTGGTGGTTAGCATTTCACACGTCTAGGTAAAAATGGTTTTGTCCACTCTTTTATTCATGAGGGCATTCTTGATTTTCTCCTGAGAGGTGTTATCAAAGCTAAGAAAGCATAGTGAATGTCATTCAAGAACAACCAACACTAATAAATCTTCTAGAGTTGTGACGTTTTCTTAGAATAGCTTCCTGTTACCGCCGAAACCGAAAGAAACCAGTTTCAATAATCTGCTGAAAGCCTGCCTCAACAAAGTCCCAGTAGTGTCTTTGTTTGTGCCCTGATTTTTGAAACCTTTACTGTTGCAAACCGATCGATAGGGATAAGGGCCACATAGTTGGTTATGCAAGCTGGCGAAATAATATATTCTCAAATATAATAATATTCTCAAGAATATTCTATTTTAAATATTAAATAATAAAGGTACCTATAAAATTTTGCATAGCAACAGCACCCAATATGCGGTCAAAAATCATTCACACGATTGTAAATTTGTAAATAGTAATGTAAAGTCACAGATCACCTAATACAGATGCGTAAGTACGTATACTTGCCGTCGACGATATTCTGTGACGAAGCCGGGGAGCCAGCGCCTTGACGCATAGATACAGATCGCCCGCGTCAGGACAATTAACGTGGCCGAGTGCGTGAGCATGTTCCAGCCTGTGTGTTTACATATTTTTGCGGGTAAAAAAGAAATTTTTTTTGCTGTTTGTGAACCAATTAAAGAAATAATATTATATTATTGAGCTTCCGCATTTATATAATAAATATGTTCAAAATACATTCATGCGGCATTGGTGCGGCCAGCCTATGTCTATCAAATTAATCTTGAACCATGAATTCGCCGCTCTTTCGCATCTGTATGTAGGTAATCTGTGGTAAAGTAGTGAAGTAGTTCTGTGAATAAATACTAAGTGGTGTAAATAAGACAAAACCAGCGTTTAATTTCTATTAAAAGAGCGACGAATTCAATATACAGTCCACTAATAAAAAACATCAGGACATTTTGGTCCAGCTCACCAGATGAAATGAAAATAAGTGAATAATTAAAGGCCCATGTACCTATTGCAGTTAATAAATAAAGACGTGAATGGAGATAAATAAAGGTCCATGTACCTAGTATTTACTATAATAATACAATAAAATAAACTGGTTGGTGTAGTGCGAGGAGTTAATGTATTTTTCGAAATTTTGTGTTCGGGACAAATTAGAACAGAGAAAGAAATGCCAATAATGCAAAAAACTAGACTAGGTTGGGTAATTTCAGGATGTGTTCCTTATGTGGCTAACTCGGTGATTAATAAAACAAAATCTGCAGTGAACAGTGTTCAAACAATGTGTAATTTTACATCTAATAATGACCTACAAAATCAATTGGAGAAGTTTTGGATTGTTGACGAGGTTCAGCCATTAAAAATTCTTAGAAGGGAAGAAAATGAATGTGAGGAATAATTTGTAAAAACAACCAAACATGCATCTGATGGAAAATTTATAGTTGAATTGCCAACAACAGAAGGAATTGAAAAAATAGGAGAGTCTAAAGAAATGGCTATAAGAAGATTTTATAAATTGGAAAGGAAACTTGAATTAAATAAGGAAATCAAAAAGGAATATGTAGAGTTCATGGAAGAATATGAAGCTCTAGGACACATGTCATTGATACCCAGTACTGAAATTGAAATAAATAATCGACCTATTTATTATTTACCGCATCATCCGATATTAAAGGAATCGAGCAACACCGCCAAGTTGAGGGTAGTGTTTGACGCCAGTGCCAAGACAAATATGGGAATAAGTTTAAATGACAAACTTAAAAGTGGCCCAGTAATCCAAGATGAAATATTTTCCATAGTATTACGATTTCGACAGCATAATGTAGTATTAGGAGCTGGCATAGCGAAAATGTATCGGCAAGTGTAGATAAAGGAGGAGCAAAGGTATCTTCAAAGGATAGTATGGAGAATAAATTCGGATGATGAATTAAAGCATTATAGACTCAATACGGTGACTTATGGCACAACACCTTCATCATTCTTGGCAATTCGCAGCCTGCATATGGCAGCAGACGAGGAACAAAATAATTATCCAAGGGCATGTGAAGAAATCAGAAAAAACTTTTACGTAGACGATTTATTGACAGGAGCAGAATCTATAGACGAAGCGATCAAATTAAAAA